TGGTGGCGAGACCTGGTGTTCTGACTGAAAGTGTGGTGCTCTGACAGAGTGTGGGTCTTGGGGGAACTGGTACTCTTACATGGTGGGGGGCAGGGCCCTAGCTCTCTGTTACGGCTGGGACCTGCCTTCAGGGACCTGAATTTTTAGGCAGTAGAAATGGAGATGCTGTCCTTCCCAGCTTCCTTGTTTTGCCCTGCACCAGGGAAATGTTTTATGGGTCTCAGGGTAGCCCATGAGGTAGTGCAGCCCTGAAGTAAACACTTAAAACTGAGGGTTGGTGAGCAGGGAGAAAGCAATTATTGGAGGTCAGGAGTCCGCATGGTAAACAAAGGGGACTTTTTTTTTCCCCCCTCTTTTACCTCCAACTGAATGAGTTAGAATGTAAAGAGGCTGCCAAGCCCAGGAACAGTTCCAGGGCAAGCTTGGAAGGTGACTGGCTTTAGGAGCACTTCTCAAACACTGCCCACTTCTCCCTGAGCGCTTGACAAAGGAGCAGAGAGTGTGTGCACCATTAAGCATTGTTATTGTTGCAGCAGTTATTGTTGTCATCAAGGTTTGTGGGTTGTGACCTATGAAGTCTTTAGGAAGGTGCCTGGCAAGGCTACCCAAGGCTCACCGCATTTCAGGGGAGGGGGAAGCGTGCACATGGGAAAGGTTAAAATGGACTCAAGTGGAGGGAAACGGAGGTTAAGTGGGCGGGAGGATGTAAGGGTCTGTTCAAGACCAGACGCCCTCCCCCTTCTCAGGGATGCTGAGCCTGCATCTTAGCTCTTTGGACCAAGTCCCTGGATCCCACTTCTCCCCTCCAGTCCAAATCTCCCAACCCTGCCTCTCTAGGCAAATCCTGCCCCCTCTTTTGTGACCATGCATGCTCAATCGAGCCCCCCCCCCACCGAGTTCAGCAGAGACAGTCCATCTTCCTTCTGACCCTGCTGCGCTGCCCGAGCTTCTTCCTGTGGTGTGCTCTCTCTTCTCTGCACCCCTCCTCCATGCTACTAGGCCACACTCAGAGTGTCCGTGGGGACTCTGCCCCAGCCCTTGCCCATGGGTCGATGGCTGCCTGTTCTGTGTGTCTCCTCTTGGTCTGTGTTGACACAGCACTTCCCATCTTCTTTTCCCTGTGCTTCCTCCTTCCTCCTTTTCCCTTTCTCTCTCCTTCTTCAGCCAAGCATTGTTTCTTCCTTTGAACCTCACCCTCCAGCCTGGAAGGATGCCTGTACTGGGGCATCTCGTTGTCCATACACACACACCTGTGCTTGTTGTCACCTTTCTCAACACGAAGCAGAACCTTCTTCTGCTGCTGCTTTTCAGTGCTTTTCTGGTTTTTTTTGTTTTTTTGTTTTTTTTTTTCCTGCTGTCATCTCTGCTCCCAGCCCAGAATCCTTGGAGTCTTGTTAGCCTCTTCTCTCTTCTTTCATTGCTAACATGTGAATAATCATTGAATCCTGTTATTTTTCCCTCAGGCTCTGGATTGATACCCTTTATACCCTTTTCTCCATTTGGGCAGCTTCCAAGCTGGTTGCTCTACTTCCAGCCCCCCCCTCCCCTGGTGGCTGCCCAGCCTGAGGTCATGACCAGAGGAGACTTTTGAGCCAGGCTTTCAAGGCCCGGATTAGATCCTCACACCTGCCTACAACCCAGGTTTTGCTGCTCTGCAATCTCTCTGGGTTTGCTGTTCCCTTCGGTGTCCTGAGAGCTGCTTTGGACTCACCTTGTAGCATGTTCCTAGCAGTGATCTTTACAGAGAGCAGGAGTTGGTGACCAGTGTGAGATGTCATGGTGACTATGCTAGACAGATACTGCTGAGGGCACTCAAGGGGCGGATGTTGTGTTAGGCTCTGCCCTCGTGAGCTTCGTCCAGGTGGTGGGATGGGGCAGGGGGAGGGGGAGGAGAAGATGGGCCTTCCTAAGAGCTCTAAACCAGCCCGGCTGCCAGAAGTGCGCAGTTTGAACCCTATCATCGTGCCAGGTGTTTAAGCAAAGTCAGTTTGCTCCGTGTTATCTTAAGTGAGCTTAGGTTCTTCGCCGAGGTTCTTTGTGAGGGTAAATGTTGGGCCAGAGGCTCTGGTGGCTGGCCCGAGAGCAGTTTGTTTACTCTGAAGGTGACTGCGGGTTAGGTGGCCTGAGATTCGCTGGTTTGTAGGAAGGAAGCTGTGGTTATGCCGTGAGACTTGGCTTTGTGGTTTCTGCTGTAGATGTTTTGCTGTTGCTGCGGGCCTGCCGCGTGCCTGCCACAGTGCTGCCTGGGCAGGTAGGCACCGGCCCACAGGCTGCCTTCTCCGTCCCTTCTCCTGCTGCCTGCCAGTCTCAGGGGCTGGTGCGCAGGTCAGAGTCCCGAGGCCCTGGGCAGGGCAGTTGTTTTTCTCGACCGGTCAGATTATCTGAGGATTAAAAATAGAGCAGCATCAAACGTGTTTTGTCGCAGGTTCTCGTCTTTTTTCTTTAATCGTGTGCACGGAGCTGTGGCGATTTTTAGTCTGAAGTCCATTAGCTCCCTGGGAGCAGTAGAATAACGTGTAATAATAAAGCAAAATGGACTTTTTGGTGAGCGCTTGAGGGGGGCTGCATGAGGGCAGTGGCATCATGCACAGCTCTGGTGGGGCAGAATGAAGGAGAAATAACTTCATGACGCCTCCTCCTAGGTGGCTTTAGCCTGGAGAAAAGAAACCTTTGAATTCTAAGAGATTATATTTAGACACATTAGAATATGAGCACATTTCTGTCTTCTCTGCTGAGACGGAAGTGTGTAATATATTTTATGATAACTGATGTTGTTGGAGTGCTTCCTGATTTATAAAGCATGTTCGGTAAGTTATCCTGTTTCATCCCACGGCAGTCCCACAAGGCCTCAGGTATTATTATCTCCATGTCAGCTGTGAGGCTGTAAGCCTCTAGAAGTGACGTTGAAGTGAGTGCTGTTGCTGAGGTTACTGAGCGGGAGCGATCAGACCCAACCCAAGACTTGTGCCTGCAGCGGGGCCGTGGACTGAGCGGCGCGAGGTTGAATTAGAGAGAGTAGGGGTCAGTTGTTGGCCCTGCTGCTTATCAGCTGCCTTCCTGTAGTCAGATTGTCTCATTTATTTTTAAAATTTTCTGGCAGAAACTAAAATTACTTTCAATATAATCAAGCATTTCAGATCATCTGTAGTTGTCACTTTGCATTAACCGCATTATCCCACGGCCCTCTGTCACTGCTCCTCTCTGGGGTGGCTGCTCTGTTGGCTACAGGACACTTGCCCTGGGACTTTTCTTCTGTCATCGTCACAGTGGTTCTTCCTGCCTCTGTTCTCTCTGTTGTATCCTTTTGTCCTTTGTTCTGCGTGTTTCTCATTTTTTTATTTGTTTTTGTCTTAGGAAAGCATTAGTTCGATTCGCCTCCTGTCTTTTGTATATGGTGTTTTGGGTTTGTTTTTTTCCTCCTTTAAAACATTCAGAACCTCCTGCTTTTCAGTAATATTCTGAAAGTTTTCAGTGATGTACATGGATGAATTTTTTTTCTTGTTCCTTTTCAACTGGACACTCACTCTTTAGTTCTAGACTTTTTCTTGAATTATTTCTTTGATAATTTCTTTTTTTCTAGCTTCTTTTTTCTAGAGTTCCTTTAAATTTGACATGTGTGCCTAACTGATCCATCTTTTAAATTCCTTTCCTTTTTCTTCTCCTGTTATTTCTTAGAGTTTTCTGGTGTTTTTTAAATTTACAATTCTACTTTCAGTCTTACTGAAACTTTTAGTTCTCAAAAGAATTTTAATTTTCAAAAGTTTCAACTGATTTCCTTTAACTATACCTTTTCCATAGCAAACTATTCTTGTTTTTATGGATTACTATCTTATTTCTCTGAAGATAATAATTATAGTTTTATTTCCTTCTGCTCTTTTATTTCTAAGTTCTATTTTTTCCACTGGTTGTTTGCATGTCTGTCTTTTGTGTTGAGGGCTTTCCTCAGATATCTGGTGAGCACGATTATCTGTCTACATGAACGATCATAGCACTAGTGGTGGAAGGAAGACTGAGTGTGTGGAGGGAGTGAAGGTACCAGTTTGTTGGGAGAACTTGCAGTGGGTATTTTCCTGGGTATCCATCTGTTTCATAAGGGAATATTTCTCCACTCTCTTGCTTGGGGGAATAGAATTGACAGCATTCTGGAAAAGGGAAGGGAGGTGTTGGGGGATCGGGTGGGTGAGCTCCTTCAATTTGTATACTCCCCCTAAAGTCTCTTTTTCTCTCTGGACCACACTCCCAGAGTAGTAGAATTTTTCTTATTCGATTTCTCCGTGAAGTTACCGCCATGTTTTCTGTCCTCCTGGCAAAGGACCATTGACCATCTGTGTGGACTGGGTGAGGGAATCTGCTATGACGGGTCTTCATACAATACTTTTCACTGTACAGCCCCCTCCACCCCTCTATCCTTCCCTGCATCCCCCACCAATTTAGCCCATCTCTTATCATGCCTGAAGAGATGCCTTACTTATAGTGCAAGGCTTTCAAAATTGTCCGGAGAGAATTGGCTCACACTTTTTGACTTCTAGAGATCACTTGACTGAGTGAGAAAAACTGAAAACTCACTCATCCATTCCCATCCTAAACATTGAGAGGTGACTTTCTCTGAGGATTTTGTGCTTTGGTTCATCTAGATAAAATGGCGTTTTCACATAGCTCCAGCGTATGGTACCTGAGGTGAGGCGTAGAGTGTAGACCTTCTGGAGAAGTCTTGGTTGAATGAGTGGCAAGTACATTTATGCAGCATGCCTGGCCACATGGACTCATAAAAGTGCCAAAGACAAGGGAGACCGGAAGCGGCTAAGAGGTGTCCCAATGGTGGTGGTGGGTGCAGGGATGCTTGGAGAGTGAACGAAGTCAACGGTAGGTCTGGTGTCATGAGATGTGTGCCCTGAATAGCTGAAGTAAAATGTGTTCTAGGTAGCACATCTGTGGGCACAAATTTTTCTTGGACCTGGTCAGGAGCTGGGGTTCATGGTCCTTGATTTCCTGGTTCCCAGGTGGTCCTGCCAATGTGGCTGTCCTCCACAAAGGTCTCCTCACTCATCGAGAGAATCGCTGACTCCAAGGACTTGAAAAAACTGCTCAGGACCCGGAATAATGTGTTGGTGCTTTACTCCAAATCTGGTGGGTACCCTCCAGGCCTCGGGCCCCTCGGGGATGGGATAGTGTGGGGAACGGAGGAATGGGAGCAGCGGTGGTAGGCAGGGCCCTGAGGACCAGACTCACTCAGACAGCATGTTGGCAGCTTTCCTCAGAAGATAGGGGCAGAGGCACAGAGACGTTCGCTCTGCCCCTTTTGGACCCCTAATAAGTCATTTTAGTTCCCTTTGACCAGTATTTCTTAGGGAAAACCATCTGGAGACCCTCACTACCTCCAAAGGGAGAGGGCTTCTGTGAGGGACAGCAAAGGACAGTGGACGCTGGGAAGAATGTTCTGGCTTCCTGAGCAGGCATAGACCCACTCTGCTAGGGCAAACTTTGCCAAAGCTGTTGATTAACTGACTGGGCCAGCGTGTCATCAGCTAAATTGGTCCCTGGTGTGAGGACACGTGCCACGCCGGCAAACCCAGCCTGCCTGGCCCCCATCTGCCCTACTCAGGGGTCAGAACTCGGGGCTGAGTTTGGAGTCTTGCCTCTTCTGCCCTTGAGGCTGGGGAGGGCAGTGTGGGAGGAGAGAGATTTGCTCGCTCTTGGCTGAGACTTCGGACAAGTGTGAAAGTCTGACTGTTGATGTTGTTCCAGCAGAGTTAAGTGCTTTTGCTGCTTCCAAGGATGCCAAGTTTTCTGTGCCCCAGAGAAGCAGCAGCCTGTGGCTGGGCCAGTTCCGGGCAGAACCCTCCCTGGCAACTCATCCCCAACACTCACTGGCACTGGGGGCTGACAGATGTTCTGGACTGTGTCCGTCCTGAGCCTGCACCCTCCAGACGCCTGGCGCATGTTGCTCCTTGCCCCTCTCAGAGTCTGGCACACACTCCTTGGGGTGGTTGCTGTGAGCCTAGCACATGACTAACATCTCTCTGTTGTCCACAATAGAGGGGACACTGAGGCAAGGGAGAAGTAGAATGGCTCCCGAGATCTGGGGTGAGGGTCCTAAATGACCCCTCTGATGCTTCTGGAACTGGGTGACTATCAGGACATTAGTACCTTGTCTCGGTGGGCCCTATCATGTTAAAGGCTCATGATTTTATCGGGACTCTGTCAGGCTCTTCAGTGACACACTCTCATTTGCTCCTTTGCCATGAAGGAGGCAGGGCAGGTTGTCAGATACTGTTCAGTTTACAAGTAAGGAAATTGAAGCTGAGAGAGAAGAGCTGCCTTGTCTGCAGTCTGCCAGCTAGTGGGTGGTAGAGCTGGTCCCCTGAGCTGCCTCCACCTCTTGCTTCCCCTGGTGGAGGGTAGGAAGGCATCTGTTTATTCTGTAATGGCGGAGGGGCCATTGTAAGACCCGGCCTTGGTGGTGGTAAGTTGGAATGGAAAGTGGGGGTGGGGGTGTTGGGTGGGCTCTAGTGCTCTTATTTTCTCTCCGGCCCTTACCCAGCCTGTCTCTTTCGCTGGCCGTGGAGTTCCCTTGGCTTTCCCTTGCTGGGCTCCTCTCCCTGCTGGGATGGGTTACTTCCTACCTCCTTGCTCATGCCGGCCCTGTTGCAGGACTTGAGACCTGCAGCTGAAAGGCAGGGTTACAAGAGGGGGTGCTTCATACTCCCCTACTTAATGCCATTCCCAGCGCCATCCCAGTGGGGAGCCATGGCCTTGCCCACCTCAACTGTACGCTCTCCCCCTTTTGCCCTGGGTGGGGGGGGGGGCTCCTTTGGGTAACTCTGCACTGCTCTGGAAGGAATGCCTTTTCTGCCCTTCCCAGAAAGACTCAGCATGCTTTATACCACAAGCAGCTAGCTTTAGCCACACTAGCAAAGGCGATCTGTAGAGGCAAATGGTCCAGACATCATTTCTGCTTGGCTGGGGACTTACCAGCTTTTGGGCAGGGGCGGTGGCAGGCTGCTCCCCAATACATCTGCCTAGCCTTCCAAGTGAGCTCACAGGTGTGACGGGGTGTGCCACACTGGTCTTGCTTCTCTACAGAGGACTACTGTAGCTGCCGGTGTTAGAATCCTGGCCACGGGCTCCATCCCCACGACACTGCCCTCCTATGGGCCTTTTCCAGATGATTCACCCACGCCCATGGGGATCGACAGTTAGACTGAAAAAAAAACTCTTCCTCCTGTGCTCACTCCATCCTGTCCCAGGGAATTGTCCTCTGCCCTATAACTGAGCCTCAACTGTGTCTTCTGTTGCTTCCGGGAGGAGGACTATGAAATGTAACTGGGGACCCCCGGCATTGTTCCCTCAGAGCCACATGTAAGTGTTAAACTACTAAGTTCCGCTGAGTCCCCAGATGAGTGCGCAACACACAGGTTAAGGGAGGACCTGGCCCCTAGTCTCTTCAGCTCCTGGCTTAGGCACCTGGACATACTAGTATTCATTTCCTACATTAGCTATAGAATTGGGGTTGTTTGATAATAGAATTTTCAAAATTTCTGCCAGCAAGGTAGTGAGGCTCCACTGGGAGTCGAGGAGACTGTGCCTAAAGGGACATGAGGTGGGGCGGGGACTGTGCTTTAAAGGTGCTCAGGACCCTTCCTCCCCCCCCCCCCACCGCTGGCTCCACCGCTGGAGAGGAAAGGTGCCTGGCTGGCCCTGGTGCCCTTGGGCACAGACTTTTAATTTTTTGTTTTTTTTACAGAGGCTGCAGCTGAAAGTCACCTCAGGTTGTTGTCCACTGTGGCCCAGGCGGTAAAAGGACAAGGCACCATCTGCTGGGTAGACTGTGGGTATGTTCTGGGGACTTGGGGCTGCGATGCTGGAGGCAGGGGCCTTGGCGGGGTCTGTGGGTGGAGTAGGTGTTCCACTTGATTCAGGCTCTGGGCGAGAGGCGTCTGGCCTGGAGACAGCAGGGGCAGGGTCTCGCCCTCTCCTGTTCTTGCCATCTCTGCTTCTTCCTCCTTCCATTGTGCTTTTCTCTTTTCCTCTGTTGCTATGTGTCACTTGAGTTTTGTCTCTCCAAATGAAAAAAAGGCAATAGAGGGGGATTCCTTATTTGTTCGCTTTTTGGCTTTTTTTTTTTCTTTTTTTTTCTTTTGGCTTCCTTGTTTTAAAGAAAGGGCCTGGATGCCCTGAGAGGCAAGGTGATTTTTCAGGGCCCCTGGTAGGCTTGCTTGGGGGAGATCTCAGCAAGAACCATGGGCTTCCCCCCAGCCCAAGCCTTTAAAAGAAGACCGTGCTGGCCGCAGCATAAAGGTAGCGGGACCACTGGTGACCTGACTGCTGCTTTGACTTCCGAGGTGGCTATTAGATGTGTCAGCCGGCGCAAGTAGCTTACACTTTGGACTCTCTCACCTGCACCCCCACGCCCCCCACCTGCCCCATCGCCAAAACTCCTTTTACCTGACCTTGATCCTCACAGACCTCTGTCAATGTTAAGATGGCAGAGTCAAGCACCAGCCCAGGGAGGGAGTTCATGGGAAGGAGGCTGCCTTTGGGGTATTCTTTGGTGGAATTTCCCTGACTCTCTTGAGTTTAAGAGTTTGAATCCATAGTTTACTTACCTCCCCTTACTTTTAGTCACTGAGATTCATTTCCACTTCTCTCTGTGGTCAGCCCTTGGCTGCTGGGGTGTATCCTCACACATCATATATCCCACTTTGGCATAAACACGGAAAAGAGTGGATGTAGGAAAATAGGTAGTTGGGAACACGTTTACCCAACACCAGCATGTGCAAGGCATGGTGCTGTACTTGGCAGGTGCCGGCATTTATGTGGCCCTCTGAGGGGGAGGGGCAGAGAGTGTGCACACTTTCTTGGGGTGGGTGTTGGGGACCGAGGCAGCCTCTGCTTGCAGTAGCCTCTGGTCAGCCAGAGCTTGCTTCCTGCGGCGTGGGTCTTGCTGACATTCCCCATTAGTGAGGGCTTGGAAGCTAGACTTTGGGGCCCCCAGGCTTGGGGTGGAGAAGGTCAGGAGCGAACAGGTCACATTGCTTTTCCCCTGAATAGACAGGTGAGAGAAGAGGGGTGCTCTGGTCCAGAGTGGACAGTGCTGTGGTGAGGAGGCACTGAGGCTCTGGAGGTACATAGAATGTTGGAAAAAGCCTTGCACGCAGGAGTCCTAGGTTGAAAGGTCACCTCTGCTACTTACCAGCCCTGTGGCCAGAGACAGTCTATTTTCTCACCTGTATAATGAGACAATAGTACATAGCCATCTCTGTTTTGAGTCCGTGTAAATGATTGGGTAAATTTCTTCCCAGAATAGAGTTTAAATGCAAGAGCTGTTCTACTGTTGTTAATTTTCATCTGGGCAAGATTGGGAGACATGATGTTTCTTCATTGAAAAGCTTTTTATTGGTCTTTAGCTTTTGTAAGGATGCCCCTGAAGAAAGTTCTGGGCATGCGGGTCAGCCCCAGCATATGGATATCTTGGTCCAGGCTTTATGAAGTATGAGGTACTGTGGAATTTGTAGGGCCATGGCTCAGGAAACCTTCAGTTCAGGCTCTGACAGCAAATAGCTTTGGAACTTTGGACAAGTTGCTGCCCTTCTCTGCGCGTCAGTTTAATCTTCAGTGAAATAATGGAGTTGAAGCTTCCAAGTTGCTCTCATCCCTTAGTCTGGCTTGGAAAATGCTAAAAGCTGTTAGCAGTGTGTGTGTGTGTGTGTGAGTGGCTGTGTGTGTGAG